TATTTGGTATAATATATGTTTAACAAATATAGAAATGAACTACTTGAATAACGCCTCACTATAAATGCAAAAAACATCTAATTCTAATACATAATTACAATAAAATGCAAATAAAAAAAATGTCCACCGTGGTTACAATACTCATACAGTAAGTTTTATTTTTAAAGCACTTCACTTTATGGTGCAGCGTAGGTAAGCAAATTATATTACACATTTCAAAAATCTAATACAAGATCATAAAATATACATAACATAAAACATATGCTTATGTGTAAAAGAAGGCACGCAGCATAAATAAATGATCAAATAAATAGTTATCATGCATTGTATGAGATTAGCAAAAATATTCACATCCAATACTTAAATAAAACAGCACCATGCCTTAAAACCTAAAAGGACATGTCATTAAAAAATAACACCAATATTAAGTTGATCAGATTTGACCTAAGACTGAGTAATATGTAACCATCACAGCGGCTTCTGAGAAAAGATAACGCGCGGTTTCTTGCCTTCTTTAAAGTTTTTTTTTTTTGGGTCATTTTTTTAAGCCGGACTTGAATTGATCGCGCTTCCTATCAAACTAAAAGCTTGTAAAATTTTTTAAATAAATTTAAATTTTTATTATCCAAATGAAATAGTAAAAATTATAGGGGTTAAATAGCAAATCTATAAATTATAAGTTTAGAAACATCTGGACCTTAAACTCATTCTGTGTGTAATGTTTTTCTTCACTTTTAAAAACAGTGTTAATAAAATTAGTTTTGATCATTAGTTGATAAAAAAATTATAGAAAATAACTTCAAGAAATACATAAAAGGATTAAGAAAATTTTTCCATCCCTTTTCTATAATTTTGTGTCATTGTTTATAATTTTAAGCCATTTTCTATAATTTTTCCTTTTTTGTAATTTTTAATGTCTTTTTTTATAATTTTTAATTAATTAATAGTTAAAATTAATTTTTGTTAAAAATAGAGATGATATCGCACCATTTTTATAAATTAAAAGAAAACATTGCAATAAAAAAGTATTTGGAGTCTCAGACACATCTAGACCTATAGTTTAAGGGTCAATTTACCATTTAATCAAAATTTTTGTCTTAAAGGCCAACGTATAAACTTTCGTAAGTTCAATTTGCAAAACAAGATTAATATTGCTTAATCCTACTCTGTCATCCACAAATAAAATATTTGATCCCTTAAAAGTAGGCTCACTTATCGGAGGAGAAGTGTTATGTAAGTTTTGAAAAAAAGAGCTCAGGCTTGGGTGACCCTTCAAGCCTTGTTCTATTTTTTTCCTTCTACTTTGGAACAACACGATTTGGAAAATGAGAAAAAATCTTAAATATTTGATTATTTCAAGTTCTCTAGCTCTCTTCATCTCTAGACTCAACCTCTTCCTCTCGCCCTCTCCTTTCCTCTAGTTATCTCGCCTCTCCCTCTCATTGCTCTGCTTACCCTCTAGCACCATCTGTCTCTCAATTCGTCTCTCCATCTTGTCTCTAGACTTAGCATCTCTTGGCTCAGTTTCTACCTCTCAACATTCCATTTTTTTTTGTCTTTTTGGCTCTTTTACTCTCACGTAATTCCTCTTTTAGCATAGACCTTTTTTTTTTAGGTCATGAGTGTCTAAAATTTTAATTTGATGCTGACTTTTAAGATTTCAATTTAATTTAAAAATTTTAATCTCGTATCTTATTCTATGAGGATTATTTTGATATGCCTTATATATTTTCTTTATAGAATTTTGTTGTAAATTTTGATGGTATCAACTAACATGTATTTAGACTTTGAAATCTTTTATGGGTAAAGGTACATTTTTATCCCTGAAGTATTTTTTGAAGAGCACCTAGCACCCTAACGTTTTTGTTAGAGCAAACTTGCCTTTAATGTTATCAAAATGGATCATTTTTTATCCTTTTTGTCAAATTTTCAATGTTAACCTCAAACATGGACCGTTAAAAAATTTGATAGAAAGGGCAAAAATACTCCATTTTGATAATATTAATGGCAAAATTTTTCAACAAAAACATTAAGGTGTTAAGTGCTCCTCAGATAATACTTCATGAACAAAAATGCACATTTACCCATCTTTTATTTATTTTCTAGATGTTGAGAGAGCTTAATTTAGTTTATATTAAATTTTAAAGTTAAATTATAATGCTAAATATTATGATATTGAATGGAATTATTTTCTAAAAGAATAAAATTAAATTATAATAATGATTTTTTTATTTTTATTTTTTGAAACAAGCTTTTAAAATTGGCCTTGAGCCCTTTCAATAAGGATCAGGGTCTTAATATTTGTTCAAAATTTAGAAAATTAGGCTTCAAGGCCTAATCCTCCAAAAATTTTAACAGTTTAACTCAAATCTCAAACAATTTAAAAATTTAAATAAATCTAGACAAAATTAAACTTATAACAATTTTATTAAATAGTTACAAATTTCATTATACTATCTAATAACGTTATAGCATAAAAATCATTATAGCAAATTCAATTCATCTAAACAACTACAAATTTCATTCCTCTATCCAACAATATTCATCATAAATGAAATTAATTCCTCTATCTAAAATCATTTTAGGCAAAGAAAAAAATTATATTAATTATAAAAAATAGAAACAACAATATAGAAAAATAGAAAAAATATAATCAGCCAGTAAAACTTTCATTAATCAAAGAAAAATTAAAAAGAATTAGTAATACTTACTTGGAATCTATGAACATGAAAATGCGACTCAAAAAATGAACTTGAAGGCACAACCAACAATGGAGGAAGAAGGAAGTACACCCACTAAAATTAAATATTAACTGGCAATGGAACACAATGGAAGATAATAAAGTAAATGGGAGTCCCAAATCAATGATTAAACTTCACCACAAAGATAAATGAAGAAAATCAACCTTTAAAGAACTAAAATGTCACATACATGGGGGAGGACGGCAAAGCAAATCGGTGGCGGCGGCTTCTTCGATGGTGATGAGGGTTTTGGTAGGGGTGATTGGCTTCCTCGACCTCGGAGGGTTCAATGGCAGAGAAGAGAGATTTGAAATCTAAAATCTGGAAAAGAAATTGGGGGAGGGGGAAGGCGTGTCAGATTGAAATAAAAGGGAAATGACATTGGTTACATAAAAATGTATGCGTTACAACGTTAGTTACATGAGAAACCGAGTAACTGACGTTGTAACCCATAAATTTTTTATTTTTTTTTATTTTGAAGGTTTTCAACTTATACGATGTCAGTTACCCATGTAGCCAACGTCGTATCCTTGTAATTGTAAATTTTTTTATTATTTTTTTTTTGGGTTTTCAACGTTATAACCACTGTTGAAAACAATTTTTCCATATCGGTTAATTACGTAACCAACGTGAAAAATTACTTTAACATTGGTTATTAAATAATTGATGTCAAATATCTCGATTTATTTATATTTTTGCCACTGCTTTATTTATAACCACAGTTTTTTGTAAAACTGACATTAAAAGGTGATGTCAAAGGTATAATTTTTAGTAATGAAAAGGCCAAGATTGCCTATTTTGCTATCTCTGCTACCATATAAAATCTACGCATGCCTACTCCAATACAAATTTCACATACCCACCCGTCAACTTCTTCCTCTTCCTCTTCCTTCCAGATTCAGACTTTGGAAAACATAAATAAGAAGCATTGAAGAGGAAGGTGATATGGGAGTCATCTAAGGCAAAGGCTTCCATCAAAAAGCAAGGAAGGAGGGTGGAACAAGAAGCATAGAAAAGGAACGAATATAAAACCTAGAAACGATGGTGCCCAGTGTTCAATCTCATAGTGTTTGGTTGTCCAAGACAAAGGCTTCCATTGATGAGATCAAAGGCTAGGGACCATAGAAGATGGAGGGAGGTTGGCGAGCTTGATGCCGATGATAATGACAGTGCAATGAGATGCCAGCAAATATGATGAAGGAGTGCGATCAGAAAGAGATGGAGGGAGGTGGGTATGAGTGAATGATGAGGGTACGTATTGTGGTAGAAAGGTGGTGGGAATGGAGATTACACAGGTCTAATAATGTAATCCTCATTACAATATTTAAGGTAATTTCTTTTACATAATGTAATCCTCATTACATTACCTTGCACCAACCAAACATTTAAGATGGGGGGATTGTTGGACCCATATCCGTCTGGCCATCATCTACGCGCAATCTTTGGTGTTCACCATCTCCACTGTCATGGTTGGACTTCTTGCCTTTATTAGATCAGGCAACTATATATACTTAAGAGGAAGTTAAACACCAAATACTTTTGTTGCAAAAAATATGTAAATATTTGATATAAAAGTTAAACTAAATTTTTAAAGGATTTTGATTATAAGAACAGAAAATTGAAATTTCTTAACAACATATTTATAAACCTGTGAAGCAAGGGAACGAGTAGAGGTTATGAAATTGATTTTGATCAGTTTACAACTATTTCACATCTAATTTATTTTTTAGTGAACAAAAAAAATAAAAATAAAATTAAAATAAAATATATTCAGAACATTATAAAATTATAATGTTACATTGTGATATTTCAGTTATGATATTTTCTTTATTAGCTGTATATATTTTAGATTTTTTTTTTGCCAGATTTTAGATTCTTTCTTATTTTCTTAAATTTTAAAGGTATTCTAGATATTTTATATTTTAGACTCTAAATTTCATATATTATAATTATTTTGACAAGTTTAATAGCTTATTTTGGTCAATTTTTGATATATTATAATTATAATAATAAATGTAGAAGCAAATAAATTATAATAATTATATTATTTATAATTAACCCTCTTGCTCTCCCGCAATCTTGTCCTTGAATATTCCTTCTTTGTCGCAAATGCAGTTTGCAGCTCTTCATCCTCGACCAACTACACGCGACCACATGCAGATGTAGATCCAGATCTGGCGAACGCAGTGAACGCCGACCAAGACGGAACCAACATACGAACGAACAAGAGACTACGCATAAAGACACCACACACGACCCTGGCACTGTTCTTCGCCGGCACTCGGCTTCTCCCTTCTCTTCCCTTCCCCATTTGAACTACCCTTCTCCCTTCACCCTGCCATTCTGCTTCAGATTGCCTGAAGAAGCAGAAACGTCGGATAGCACAGAGACAAGATTATCCCAGATTGCCTGAAGATGTCGGACCTATAACTTAGGCCTTAGGGTTGTCCAATACTCCGGTAACGCCTCAAACCTTACGTTTGTGTGTGTATATAAATCTGATAGACTTCCTGAATATGTATGGGTGTATTTTGCTTGGTCACTTCTGCTTTGGAATGTTATATATAATAACTTGCAACGCTTGAAATGTATATATGTGTGTGATCATCGTTCCACTGCAAGATGATCTATTGAGAAATAAATTATTTATATCGACATTCGAATTAAATAATTTTTCCTCCTTCAAATCACTTCTTAGATTACACAAGAAAATTGCTGCAAAACTCTCCTTTATGGTCTTCCCAGGTCCAGTCAAGCCTCAGATTTCTGTAACTCCCTCGGTGATCGATCATTATTGAGTCTTGTAAGACTTGAAAATGTTACAAATTGATCATTTAAGCTTCTCATTATTAGTCTGAACTTTGCTTGGATAATTTCATTTGTGACTGTTTATAGTGTTTTGAATGGAATTTACAAGTTAAAAATATTTGCTTTATTTTTGTACAAGCTAGCTGTTTGTGTATGTTTAGGAGATTCATCAGCTTTTAAGAGAAACTACCTGCTGATTTTTCCCATAACTTAATGGTTAATATCATATTTTAGTTTGACGAGATAAATATAAATAGTAGTAGGAGTGGGGAAACAAGAATCAATTTTGTTAATCTGACCTGTATGTTAATAATTTATTTTTTTTACAAAAATAAAACAGGTTTATATATATTGGATGATCCAACTCCAATGGAGGAAGGAACAATGAAAGAACCAATAAACGCGGGCACCAAGCAAAAGGAGAAGATAAAAGTTGGGCCATTTTTAGTTTCTCCTCCACCGAATGAACGCGAATTGCAGTTGATACAATTTGTTTTCAACCCTTCATGGTTAGATATAGATATATACTTTAAACTATAATATTTGTTTTTGTGTGTGTATGAGTTTTTTTTTTTTTAGGTTTAAATTACTTATTAATGCACCAAAGCTTTTTTAACATGACATTCATGTCTGCTGGTCACAGCAACATGAAAAATTGATTGATGGCGTTTGGACCAAAATAGCACACTAGGCATAAGGTAAATCCATTAAGGCCTAACTTAGAGGAAACTACATAAGCAAGTCCAATCCATTAATGATGAACTTTGGAGGAGTTAGTGAAATGCCACATTTTGATGAATGGCAGCCAAATCCTAAGGCCATTTCCTAAATTCTTATGAAACTCAAAGTGAGTGATCTCCTTGCCACTCTCCCTCAATAAGGTGCACCCACGATTCTCATTTCAGTGCAAATAGTTATTGCTCCTTTTGGCAGGTGAAATTCAAATCCAAAGGAGTACATCATTGCCTTTCTCTATAAAAAGCAACAAGGGTGTGATTGAAAGCTTCTTTGCAATTCATTCAACACTCCACTCAAATAAAACTTGTCCTAAGCAAATTCAATTAACCTAGCATTACTGCAACATCGCCCTACTTGACCTTGAATTTCTAGTATAGACCTTTTAAGCTCATTAATTTGCTTTTCCCTTTGATCATCGGAGCACCTTATTGTAATTACTCTTCAGTACTATACAACTCTATTTTACACACGCACTTCTATACCTTGATCTCTTAAGTCACTTTGACACTTTAAGGAAATTATGGTAATAAAGGATAGTCATTTGATACATTACTCTTTTGAGGATTTACTCCTCTAGCATGAATGGAAATTTTAATGAGGAACAACATTGTTAGTGGGACTTGCTTGCCAAAGCAATACTAAGAAATACCTAATGCAAAGATTTTGATGATAAAGGTCATACTGGACCTCAGAATTTAGAAGTGGTTATTTGAACCAAAATTAAAACATCAAGCCAAGTTATGATGATTCCCAAAGCCCAAACCAAAAAAGAAGAATACTTAGCCTAATAGCAATCTAGTCTTTCACAAATAAGTGAGATATTGCATTTTGAGGAAAGACTTGGTAAAGTTGCACCTCCTCCATCAACTCTCAGCGCACCTATACCTAGTAATTCACATGATGGAGCTCTCCTTGGGGATCTAAAGGTGTGAACAATTATCTATTCATGTTTGGCACCACACTCAAATTTGGAAAGTACTACGTTGCTATTTTCTACAAATAGGCAACAAACGCATAACTCAAGACTCTCAATGCTCTACCAAATTTACACCAAACTTAGCATTTGCAATTACTCAACTACCAACTTCATGTTGTCTTCAATCTCACTCTGTATGACTTACCTTCCCTATGCACACTTCGCATCCTAGGTTAGTTTCTTAGACTTATCTTCTTCTTTGTGTTTACAGAGCCTCTAATTGTACTTACTTTTTCAAGTAATGTTATCAAGCTTCACAATCATTCATGGCGCACCTGTTGTTATTCTCATAAGTCACTTGGATTTCCTAAGGAATTGTGGTAAAAGATCTTGGGAATCCATTTTGATTGTTTGATTTTAACTCATTCTTTTGAGGAAATGCTCCTCTACCATGCTTATACTCTTAAAAACTTAAAGGGTTGTGACACTCTAACTCTCTTATCGGGCCAACATAGTTTTTCAGCACACCTAATCAAACCTTATCATCAAGGACAATGCCAAGAAACACTCTTTCCAAAGATTTTGACGATTAAAACCATGCTAGACCTTAGGATTTAGAGTGCAGTGCTACAGGAGCAAGTATGTATAGCAAAATATGAACCATCTAACCACTCAGATCTAGACAAGCCTATAGCAAACTTTTGTATTGAGCCACTAGACATAAGGAAAACTTTTGACATATGCCTGAAGAGCCTGTAGTAGAGCTCTGAGTCACAATATGAGAAACCCAAGAAGAAATTAAAGGACTTATAAAGGCACTATGACAAGGATAGTCAAAAAAAGGGCTCATGAAGTAACATTGCTCCTCATTCAATAGATAGAGAAAGCTGAAGAAAAGGAAAGGATCCAAACCTCTAAGGCATAAGAGCAGGAGTTCTTTTAACAATAATAGGAAGAATGAGATCAAAGAAGGTATATTTTATTATGCCAGATCATTATGTAAACCATGTAAGCATTGGGCAACTAGTTTGTTATGTATACGACAATTTGAGTAGTAACTGAAGAAAATCCTTCAATGACTACCCTGACAAGAGCCCCATGCTTAGGAGGCAACCTTATAGGAAGAAGGAATCTATTCAACCTTAGCCATCAGTAGAGGTATGATATACTTCAGCTCATCAATAGGGATAGGTAGGGTAGCATGGCTAATTTAACATGAAGGACAAAGGACCTTCTTAAAGGCACTACGACGCCTGTACTAACCCTTCCAATAATCGTAACTTGTATGAATTAGATAACATAAAGGGCACTAAGGGTTTGAGGGGCAATGTGTGTAACCTCCTCCTATATTCGCTTGATACAAAAGAAGATTAATAAATCACCATACTAATCACACCAAATAGTAATCAAATACTTTATTTGAAAAGCTTGTGCTTAAGACTCATTTTACAAAACAATTGAAATCACATCACATTATAGAATTACACAACAAAAGCAAGTCACATGCATTCATACAAGCCATTGCATGCTTAAAGACTACCAAATCAGGTTGGCATATGGGCCATAAGCTGTAGTGTGTGATAAGTGCGCCGTGGCATGTGGCATAAAGCCACACACCTAACCTTCTATATCATGCACCGTGACATGAGACGCCATGTGCCATGGAGTGCCAGTCCAAATTTGTTGCTATCATTTGATAGCAAAAATGATGAACTTTCAACGTGTGCCGTTTTCACATACGTCATCTGATCGGAGTAATTTAAGTGACCACATAAAGCTAACTCATAAACTAAATAATAAGATAGATTTGGACATGATCTAACGGTCCAATCAAAATTTAGACACTCAGGTGTAAAAAGTTACTTTCTCTTAAAATTTAATGCACCCAAGAGCTCAAATCAATTCTATTATCTCATTAGACCACACAAGGCCTTGAACTAAGTCTAAAAAGACCTAACACATCTGATTAATCACATTTCATCACACACACACACACACACACACACACACATATCAAAATGTGGCCATTTAACAACCCATTTTCACACTTCATAAAATTTCACCACTTAACACAAACTTGACCCACTTGGCCTATCTCACCATAAATTTACATATATTCACATTCATAATATAAACACGACTCAATCTTAGCCCTGAATTGTTATTTCATCATAATTTCCACACAAGGGCTCAGATTCACTAAAATTTATGACATTCATCATAATTTTTACATTCAATAACTCATAGCCATTCAAATTATGCATGCAACCCTGTAGCAACTCATATACAAAAAATTTAGACTAAATTGGTTCATTACATAAACTCATAGCTTTCATATGACCATGGTACCATTATATCAGTCCAGACTCTTTTCTCTTGCCCTGATCACTGTTATGTCCTATAAAAATGTAACCAAGAGGGTGAAATAAAAATTTTAGTAATAGAATAACTTCCTACTACTGATTATCACATACAACTATATGAAAGTAAAGCTTAATATATCTTTTTAATATAACACATATCACATATTCCATTCAAATCTCATCAACATAGCATATATCACCATTTTCATTGTTTTTCACCACTTTTCTAATATAAGAATGATCTCTACCGTTCAAACTTTCAAATTACCCCAACTCAAAACCATAGGCTCATCTTAAATCAATTTATACTCTCATTAGCCTTGAGCTCACCTTTAGTGATAGAATCACCCGGCTAAAGGTGTTCTGTCTCACTTTTGGACTATGGTTTCTCCCAATACACATAATGGGATGTCATTGACTCTAATACCATATCACACTGACACTAAGGAGTCCAAATCTCCAACACCATATTTTAATAGGTACTAAGAAGATAATCTCCAACACCACATCTTGAAAAGCACTAAGAAGATATAATTCTCTAATACTGTACCCCGTCGAGTACTAAAAAGAATATGCCATATAGTTTTATCACCACCTTTCACCTGGATGAACTCTCACCCCTATAATCATGCTTTCTAAACCATTCATAGGTTTCTAATCACCACTTTACGCATATATATATATATACATATTTCTAAATCAAATTACATAATTTCATTATTTGTTTAACCAAAACCCCTTTTTATGAAAATAACATTTAATGCTATAAAACATGCTTAGTTCAAAACAATTTCATACAATATATAGCATAACCACACACAGTTATAACAAATAGTCAAACAGAGGAAGTTGTTTAGTTATCTCAATCTTTTTGTCACTAAAAAGGTTATCTATGGATTTCAACTACCACTATATCTCATCACAAGTTTCTTTTCTCAACTCACACGCACAATTTTCCAATCTAAATACAATTGGCACAATTTAATCAATTGGTCCAATTTGACCAAAAGCACATAATTACTACTTTTGGCCAGATTTAGCTATCTATCCTTTTTTCATTTATCCATTCTAGTTCTATTACTACTTGATTATGACTTTACATCACCTCAACTAGTCTTATTTCATTCAAACATGATTTTTACCCTAAAATCTCAATGAATGAGGGCTAAATTGAGCTTACGGGTTCAAAGCTCTATTGTTCAACTCTAAACCAGTCACAAAGCTCTCTAATTTAACTCTCGAGAACTTTTTTATTACTATTAAGTAAGAATCAAACCCCTTAAATTTCATTAATTTAATTTTTTTATAACTCATATTCAGTGAAATTTGGGTAGAATGGAAGATAAGAGTTATATGTAGCTTACCCGATATGTTACTAATCAAAAGTGCCTTCCACAGCTTCAAAATGGCTTGCTCTAACACAATTCAACTTCCTCTCCTCTCCTTTCGTGTGTTTTTTAATTTTTCTTTCTAAAATTCACCTAAATTTCCC